TGCCAACAAAACAACGTACCCCGCAAACAACAGCTGTTCATTGCCAATATCTCCTAATCTGATACACCCATGTCCAGTGGTCTCAACAAGGAAGTGCCCAAACACTGGGATCAGTCCCCATGTTCCCCGTTCTTGACCAGGGGTAGTATCACTCCAGATCTTCAGCTTCAGCGGTGCTTTCTCCATATCCATTGCCGTTTGACAGACTCGTATTAGCCATAATATGCAATATCTCTTTGATCGTCGCAAAGCTCACAGTATCTCAAGGAAACTTTCATCGTTTTCAGCAGCCTCACCATCAAAAGATTTAAGCTTTTCTGCAACTTCTGTAACTTTGTCTACTGCAAGACAAATATCCGTTGCTTTCCGCTCTGAGCTGAGTGCCTGCGGTTTCGCGGGGTGAAGGAATTCTTCAAAATTTTCTCGTCATCGAGAAGTATATCTTCTTCTTTGGCAAGAAGGCAGGAGGATTTCTCATCCAGGATTCTCAAACTACCCTTCTCTCTGTTTTGGAGGAGACAGATGGCCTACCAGAACACGTTGTTTGCCTTTTCGAAATTCGGCTTCAGCATCTCATCGAACTTTCCTAAGGAATCTGCTTTCGGTTTGGCTATCTCTTTCTCCGCGGCCTCCTGTGCTTCATCTTCCTACGTTAAAGTTGAATGATCCATATTTTTAGCCCAACTCCTGAATGCAAACTCCTTCTTCTCGCCGACAGCCCGTTCAGCCTCTGGTTTTCTCCTGGAAATTTGTTTCTGATGCTCAGGCGGCAGGTCATACCGTTTTTTAAGCAGATCTGAGTAAGCAAGTCTTAAACAACTTCCGCTGCGTTTTGACGTCCGATGTTACTATTGGGATCTGTTCGACCCTCGTGAGATGCTGTTAAAAATTTTGCCGTCTTATTTTAAGAAGATGATGCCTCCCTTTCGATTCGCTGGTTGCTTCTGCCACCAGGTACTCATATTCTGTTGCCAGGTCATTACGGCGGATGGTAATGACCGGTTGACAACTCTGAGGTTTTGTTAACGCGAACGTCCATCATAGCACATTGTAAGTCAAGTGATGCTATTATCAAGTCAATCATCGACGTACGGACAAAAGCCTTGACTATAAGAGGTCTGACGCATCCTTGGATCATTGAAGGAGGTATTCATAACGGACAATCTGTTGTTTGCACAAAAGCACAACTAATTAATTCCGTTATTCCTACAGCTGCTCGCGCCAATCGCTCTCATCACTTTTCAGGGTCTGCTCAATATGCGAATTAAAATCACTAATTAGAATAATGAATTACGTAGCCGGCACTTCGCGCAGCGTATTTTCTACTTCCACTAGGGAAGACTCATGTTCTTCCTCGTATTGAGCGCACGAACCTGTAATGAGGTCATGAGTACGTTTCGTGAAGCGGACATCTCTGTTGCATAGCTTCCACCCGCAGAGGTTCAGGATTCCATAGCTTTGGCGTTCCGTTGACGAGAGTTCAACTCTGTCGATTTGGTACTTTGCAACCTCATCAACTAACTCCTACCCTTTCCCTCTAAGCGAGGGAAGGTTCCAATTTTCAACCATAAGTTCTCTCCCACTGTCGGTATCGTTCCCGTGGAGGCCAATCTGAGGTGCTGCAATCGCATCTCAATGTCTGCCTCCTCCGTTCATAATGGCTAGCTGCTCGGTTAATCACTGGTTTCTTCGTCCATTCATCGATCGATCTTCGGTAGCCGTCACTGTGCTGCTGCGCTCCCAGCTGCCAGAAGGCTTCAAGCTAATTCTGACCGCTGATTTTTCGCACTTCACCTCAGTCCAAGCATACACATTCAGTCGCGTAGGTCTCATCACCTAGCTGCTGCTCTTTCTTCTGAGTGAGGAGATGTTCTAATTTCCGACGGTGAGCTGCCACTGTCGAAATTGTTCCAGTGGAACCACACGCGATGTGTTATAAAGGCATCAGCCTGTCTGTCTCCGTTTAGAACGGGACACAACTCTGTTATCGACTGACATTTTCGCCGCCTTCTAGTCGACCGTCGGCTGCCGTTGCGGTGATGCCTCGCAACTAGCTAGCTGATCGAGTGAAGCATGTTTCGGTCGCTAGCCTTTCGCAGTATGTCTTAGTTGTTCCACCTCCGCCACCCTTTGTAACCCGGGCGACCACCGAGTCAATAGAATTTCGATAACGGCAATGCCATGATCAAAAGATGACCATGACAGATTACCTTACAGCTCCCAACCCTCTCCGTTTCTCGTCCAATCCTGAGACTGGCAATGATGGTGTAATATTTTTTGTTAAACGAACAATTTGTATAGATATTGTGTCATAGCAACGATGAATGGTAAAGAGTACAAGGCAAACCAGAATTTGTCATTGGTCGAAAAACCTCAACGCTCATTCTTGCATTTCTACCTGATCATTGTCACTTTCATTTGTTCATGGCCATTTCTACGGCGAGCACATGTATGCCGTTTCATAGTAGAATTCATTCAAAACTTTCTTTGCGCTTCTGTTGCAGCACAGCTCGCCGTCCGTAAATCTGACTATTTATTTGTGATTCTTTCATGAATTATGTTTTTATATATTGTGTCTACGCTTCGTTATCCAAGAATTATGTTTTTCTGCACTGTCGAAGATGCAAACAAAGTTGACTAGTAGGCTGAGCGTTGGTTATTGCATACCTTACAGTGCAGCCTGCAAAGTTTCATTCAAAAGACTGAATTATATCAAAACATGGCCTCAAGATGGTCTCTTTTCATCCAGTGTGGATTTAGGGTTAGAGTAATTTTTTATAAACTGTTTTATGACAACCTTCAATTTCAGTGTTTTACTAGTTACATTATCATTTTTGCTTCAAATATTTTCCATAACGTAAGATAGATTAAAACTAGTTCGTGCGTATAGCATGTGATTGTATATTTTCCCCGAACAACATTGTTCACAGAATGAATGAAAAAGTGAAACACTGATGCAGGGCATGGTGGGCACAGACTTCCACGCATACAGAATTTTGAAGGGCCTGCATCAAAACACAGGTGTAGCAGCCTGCGTAGAACATGTGATTGCTGCTCTCAAGCTGCTTAAAAATATTACGGTAAGTCAAGACTGTTCTACTGCTGTAGGGTTGTGCAAAACTGAAAATTCTCTCCCTTGACAACGTAACATTGAACAAAAGGTGATCATATGATAACGTATGTGGATTATCTGATTTAATATACGGCCTATTTCAGTTGATTACTAAAGCTCACTGATACATCCATTTTCTATATATATTAGTGGAGTTCTCGGTACCGCCGTTGATGCACGATATCTCAGATATTTCGATTCGGAATAAAAGGGCAAAAACATACAGTGTAAAGAAAAAATTATTATTATTATTTCATACTTTACACTGATACTGCGGTGATGTAAGACAAATGAAAATCTTACGTTCGCAATTTCACAGTTTTGTTCTTGACCTTTTATCATCGTTTTTCCTGCGAAGCAGTAATCAGTCGCTTACAATTAATTTTACCTTTGTTCTAATCCTCACTTGCACTTTTCAATTTTTAGCAATCAACTTACACACAAGAGAGAAATTATCTGCCAATCTTTGTAACGTGTATAAAATGTGGAATTTTTCTCTTCGTGGATAGAGTTACTGTTTTGCATGAGGAGTATTCGAGAATAAATGCCATTCTGCCGTTGCTCTGGTTGTCTGTATTCCATTGCAGAAACACTCGCGGTGGCTTAAATCAACTTTTCAGACAAGATTTGTGGTTAGAACCGTGTTTTACAACGGTTATGCAAAAATTGTGCCAATTTTGGCAACCGCATAAACACGTCGAAACTGAGATCTAAAGGAAAATGAGCTCTTCCGGATTTTACATCGTAAGAGCAGTGCCAGTAGCAAAACTAACTAAATTCATTGTCTGAATCATAACTAGCACGCTCATATTTTATTTAATGGCAGGAAACGTTTTGTAGTTTTTGTTTGTCATTGAGTTTAAAATAACAAAATTGCGATCTCTGTGC